GGGCCGCGTCCTGCTGCTGCTCATGGGCAGCGGTGGCGGCGGCCCGGGCCGGGCGCGGCGGGGCGGCGCGGAGGCGGAGGTGGCGCCGGGTCCCGGTGCCGGCCCGGGGGGCCCCGAGCCGCGCTCCCCGCCCGCCCCCGACTACGAGGCGCTGCCGCAGGGCGCCGCCGTGTCCACGCACATGCTGGCGGGCGCCGTGGCGGGCGTCATGGAGCACTGTGTGATGTACCCCATCGACTGCGTCAAGGTGCCGGCGGCGCGGCGGGAGGGGCGGGGGCGGCGCGGTGGGTGCCCCGGGCAGGGTCTGAGGAGCCGCCCGGGCGGGCCCGCCCTGTGTTGCAGACGCGGATGCAGAGCCTGCAGCCGGAGCCCGCCGCCCGCTACCGGAACGTGCTGGAGGCCCTGTGGCGCATCGCCCGCACCGAGGGCGTCTGGCGGCCCATGCGAGGCCTGAACATCACGGCCACCGGCGCCGGGCCGGCGCACGCCCTCTACTTCGCCTGCTACGAAAAGTTAAAAAAGACGCTGAGCGACGTTATCCACGCGGGGGGCAATAGCCATGTGGCCAACGGTACCGGCCCCGCCACGCCGGGGGGGGAGCGGGGCGGGAGCGGCAGGTGTGGCGGTCAGGAGGCCCGGTCCCGGCGCGGGGTCGGGGTGCCGTGGTTGTCCTAAAGCCCTGTGCTCTCTGCAGCCGCGAGCCACAGCCGCACGGCGCCGGGCAGGGGAAGCACCGCTCCTGCGCCCGCCGGAGCTGCTGCCAGGTATCTGGCATGGAGCAGGTCGGTGGCCCTGGCCCAGGAGGATGCCGGTGGATGAGAGCTTCCTGCAGACAAGCCGGGACTGGCCGTGGCCCCGTGGGTTGGCAGTGCCAGAGCTCGCCTCAGGAGTGCCACGTGGGTTTGGAGCCTGTCTCGCCATGGTGCCCGTTCCGTCTCAAGGAGCTGCCACAGTAGGGAGAGCATGGGGCTGAGGGGAGAGCAGGGCACGTTCTGCCCTTGGCAGGCACGTAGCAGAGTGCTGTGTTGGGCTGCTCCTGCACGGGACATGGGGGGACACCATCTTAAGGGCCCCTGCCATCTGGTGGCATTGTCCTGTCCCTCAAGGAGTGGACCCAAGTGAGTCCCAGTCAGCCCACAGGACTTTACAGCCTGTCACAACCCTCTGCCTTTCCTGATCTCTCTCCGGGTGGGAACCACTGAAGATCAGCCTGCCTTTTGGAGGGGAGATGGAGGCTGCCTTCAGATCTCACCCTCTTTCAGGGGCCTCCTGTGCTTTGGCAGGGGACTCGGGGCTGTGGTGGAGCCCCGGGGTCCCTCACCTTTCCCCCCCTCACATGTGGCAGTTCTTGTTTTGCAGGTGCAGCCGGGTGTGTAGCAACGTTGCTCCACGATGCAGCCATGAACCCTGCTGAAGGTAACGATGGTCCTGGCCTGCCAGGGAGGGGAGGAGCAGGGTCTACCTGAGCCTCTGGGGTCCCCTCGGTGGCATGGAAGGTGCTCCAGATGCTTTCCTGACTGCAAGGATCCTTTAGGGTTGTGTGGGTCCTCTTAGGGACCCTGGTGGCTGCCTGTTATGGACAGGGTGGGTAGAAGAGATTAACTTGGAAGTGCAGAACACCACAGCTTAGGAGGAGCTGGGAGGGAATGGGCCTTTCACCCAGGAGTTTGGCTGGGGACTGTTACCTGGAGCAGGGAAGAAGTCGAGAGATGTGATCTGCACTGCTAAAGTCATTCCAAGTGTGTTGAAGCTGGGCATTGCTGTGGTGAGAACTCAGGAAAACATGGTACGGTTGTAGGCCTGCGTTCAAGAAGAAAATTAAAAGAATGGGGAACAAAAACATGCTAGAGAGGTTGGGAGAAGGGAGATCTTGTGTTGTGGAATGTCTGGAAGATGATGATTCTTTTGAGCCTGGTATGTATGAAAAAAACAGTTTGCAATTTAGGTCTGTGAACGTAGTGGGAAAAGGAGGAATAATGAGGAAGGGCCAGTCATGAAGGTATTTTTTCCTCTTAAAGTTGGAGAGCTTGTGACAGTTCAGGCTCCAGCTGATGTGGGCCCAGCAAGGCTCCTGCCTGACCACTGCATGGCTGGGACTCAAGGAGCAGACAGCTGCCTGGCTAGACCGTTGTCATTCCTTCCCTGGAGCTTTTCTTGTCATGACTGTAGTAGTTTGTAGTCACATCATTTTTATCTCCCTGTGGTCGAGATAGGGGGAGGCAGGACAGGGGCAGGCTCCGCTCTGGGCTTCCCTGTCCTGCTCTTGGATGTGTTGGGGGGTTTGGCATCTGAATTTTGCCCTGGAGTGGCAGCATTTCAGCAGTGGCTGCAAATAGTTCCTGACTGGTGAGCTCTGTGATGTGCTGTGGTTATTCTGGGCTTCAGTGGGGGTGGCTGGGGAGGGACAGTATTATCCAGATCGAGAGCTGTCTGGAATATAAAGGGACTGAATGCAGAGCGGGTTCTTGGGACTGCATGGTAGTTCTGCTGCCGTGGATGAGCAGTTGCTTGGGAGTGAGGCTGGATCTGGAGTGTAACTGACAGGGCTATGGCAGCTGCAGGGTTTGAAAGTGGTGATGTCTGTCTGACAGGGAAGCTTCAGCAGATCTAAATGGCTGGAGTCCTGTCTGGGGACACCAAGTGCTGCTGGTTCGAGTTGTCTGTCATTAGCTCTTAGGCCAGCGTGACCAAACTCCAGGCATTTGGAGGAAGCCTGGCTTCATGTTTACCCTTCTCTTTCCTCTTTCCCTCCATGCCTGGGTCCTGGCTGCTGCTGCTGCTGGCTACCACTTTATGTCCCAAGTGGTCAAGCAGAGGATGCAGATGTACAACTCGCCTTACCAGCGTGTGATGGACTGTGTGCGGGCTGTGTGGCGCAACGAAGGGGCCGGAGCTTTCTACCGCAGCTACACCACCCAGCTCACCATGAACATCCCCTTCCAAGCCATTCACTTCATGACCTATGAGTTCTTGCAAGAGCAGCTCAACCCCCACAGACAGTACAACCCAGGCTCCCACGTGGTCTCCGGAGCCTGTGCGGGGGCTGTTGCTGCCGCTGCCACTACGCCTTTGGACGTTTGCAAAACACTGCTCAACACCCAGGAGTCCTTGGCCCTGAGCTCCAACATCAGCGGACACATCACAGGCATGGCTAATGCCTTCAGGACGGTGTACCAAGTGGGCGGTGTGACCGCCTACTTCAGAGGGGTCCAGGCCAGAGTCATTTATCAGATGCCCTCGACAGCGATTGCCTGGTCCGTGTATGAGTTCTTCAAATACATCCTCACCAAGCGCCAGGAGGAGCGTCGGGCTGGGAAGTGAGCCAGAGCCAAATGCTGTTCCAGACCTGCCTCACATCCCCCTCCTGGTTTGTCTTCTGACCCCTCTCCCTTTCAGTTTGGTTTGTGTTGAAGAGGGGGCAGTGAAGCCCTTTGGGGTTTAGCGATGCCGTTTTTCCCCTGTGACTGTGCAGCTCTGCTCAGGCTGCACAGCTTGCTCTCTGCCAGGGTCCTCCAAGACACCCTGCTGGGAGCTGCAGCCCAGGTCACATTCCCTTGCACTTTGGTGGAGCTGTGCTCCTGTCCTTCCCTTAACCACAGTGTCTCACACAAAGCTCACCCCTCTTTGGAGGGGAAGGTGAATGTCCTGCCCGGCTTCTGGCAGGGCCAAGCTGAGCTCACAGTCGCCAAGGAGGAGGTGATGGCGGATGCTGGGGGCTTCGTCTGGCCTTTGGCTGAAGCGAAGTGTAAGCCTTGGCCGTTGTCTTGTAGCACGCACATGTGATGCTGACTGCCGCAGTGGTGGTGGTGGTGGGTGAGGGGGAGGATGGCACTTGAGGAGGGAGCCTGTAGGTTTGTTTTTGTTCCTGCTCTTGACACCTCCAATAAAAACAGTTCTGCTCTATCCTCATGTCCCATTCTTACTCCGGCATGGCCAGCTCCTGGTACTGTGGCTTTCTGACTGTGCCTGGTGCTGAGGTCTTTTGATGGATGCCAAAGCGGGGAGGGAAGGTGGGGTCTGCCTGGCCCAGTCACCCTGGCAGCATGCAGGGATGAGGGTGTTGCCCATCCTGTTTGGCTTACGATCCGTCACCTGCTGCTGGTGTGGGTTGTGACCCCATGGGGGAAGCTGAGGTTTATGCTCCTTAACCAGGTAGTCCCACACCCTCAGTCTGAGTAGGAGTCCTCAGGATGCTTCCAACCTGCTCCGAATGGAGCTGGTGGCAGGAGGGTCCTGAGTTGTGTGTGTCAGGAACAGCATGGGAATTTGGTGCTGAGTGATGGTGGAGGGTTTTCTGCACCTCATATAGGAGATTCAGGGCATGGCAGGACTTTTGCCCACTCATTTTGAGTAATTAAACTAGTTTGATGCTTGATGAGCATCTTAAAATTCTATCAGCACACTTGCTCAAAGTGCTAGTATTTTTTCCAATCTAATGTTAATTAGAAGAATAACTTGCTTTTCTAACATGTTGTTAGTTGTCTTGATACTAATTTATTTTAGGGTCCCACCCAACTCTGGAGCTGTGAGTTATCCTCAGTGTGTTGTGTGCGAGCATTAAAGCATTGCCTCATTGTGCTGATCTGCCCAGAGCAGAGCTCTCGGTTTCTTGAACAGGGTGCTCATGGGTGATGCCTGACTCTCACAAGGTGCATGCAGGAGTGGCATGTGTCCCCTAGTGCCATGCCCAAAATAACTCCCTGGAGGAAATGCATTCACAGCCATGGTATGTGCAGCTGGTGAGTGTCCGGGTTGGCTTAGGCCTGCTCCAGAGGGTCTGCTGGCCTGGCCTGCACATAGGGCTGCTGGAGTGGGCTATGCTGAGGACAAAGAGGGATTTTCTGCAGCTAGAAAAGCTCCTGGGTGAGCAAGGGGGATGCACAGCCCTCAGGGCCATTGGGTTCTATCACTGCTGGGGGACTGGAGGGCAGGGACCCCTGCACTGCAGGGCTGGATGTTGGCACCTGCCCAAGCCCCAGCCCAGCGCAGGATCCATCTTTCCCTTACACATCTCTCATGCCCTGGTTCCTGAAGGTGGTGAGGAAAGCTGAGTGACCTCCTGTGGGATTTTTGATGGCTGCCTGGCAGGTCTGGGTTCCCCTGGCATAGAGCAGCCACAAGCACTGCTCTGCAGCCCTGCTCCACCTGGGCTGTGTGCTGTGCCCATCCTCTGCTCCCTGGCATGGGCTGCAGGCTCTGGTCCCTGTTTTTTCTGCACAAGCAGAAGAATGAGAAACTCCTTAAAGACACAAAATCCACTGGAGGTTAAGAAGTTCAAATTTTCCCACCATTTCAGGAGCTGGGGCTTTAAAGAAATAGTCTGAGTATTACAAGATTTGGCAGCCCTGTGGCTCTTCCACCCAAGAGGGAGAAGCAGAGATGGCTGGGAGAGACCAGGGCAGGATTAGCTGGGTGGGGAGGGCATGAGACAGGAGTTTGCAGAAGATGAGTATGACTAGTCTCTGCCAGGACGGGTCTCTCTGCCCAGGAGCTGAAAGCTGTTGGCAGCAGAGCTGCAGCTTTGCCTTGAGCCTTCACTGTGCACTGGGGCAATGACAAACCCCATGGAGGGAAAGGCATAAATGGACTGGGGCTGGAGGAAGATTCAATCCATCAGCTGCTGGAAGAGGCTCTATAAATGTCAGTGGGTAAAGGCATGATTGGAAGTGTCTCCAGGATGTTTCGTGGAGCTGCCCACAGAAGTGCTGGGGGAGGGAGTCAGACCCCCAGGAATGGGGAGATAAATCAGCACAGCACAGAGATGCTGCTATGTGAGTCATTGGCCTTAAGCAATCCCCTGGCAGGGGCATGGCCTTTCTGGTCTCCTGGCACTTTGCCAGCTTATCCAGCAGCATGTGGGTGTTGCCCAGTGCAGGCAGCAGCAGCCCTGCAGGGAATGGGACTGCCTGTGATGGGTTTGGCGCTGCAGGGAGAGCAGAGCTGCCATGGGGATTCCCAGATATCCCTTGGGCTAGGCCACAAGAGACAGGAAAAATCCCCTCTTCTGTCTCCCATCCTCTGAGCGGAACCTCTGCCACAGACCCCTGGCCATGCACGCAGCTGTTCCCTGGCTCTGCCAGGGTGGGGATGTTCCCTTGCCTCATGGCCTGGTTCCTCTGGCACCTTTCACATGATGAGATGCCTGGAGATAACGGAGCTATTGGCTGGTTCAGCTATGGCCGCTGCCTTTCCAAGGTCTGATATTACCTCAGTGTAGCCATGCTGCTCTGGGGCTGTCCTATGGCCTCTTAGGTATTTGGCTGCACTTCGAGTGAGATCCCTCCTACAGCCTCTTCTGAGTAAAGAGACTATTTTTGGTTTTCCAGCAAGGAAGCTATGCTCAGCCCAGCAGAGTTTTGGAGACAATCCCTTTTCCTTTCACTTCCCTGCAGGATCCCCAGCGTGGGCAGGGATGTGCTACCTTGCCTTCCTGTGTCCAACTGCCCCTCGAGCCCTGTCCTGCCACTGGTGTTGGTATCGGGTGAGTCCTGCAGCCCCCAAGGAGGCAGAGCCTGGCAGTACTGCTGGCCTGGCCCTGCTCCGGGTGAGAGATCCGGGACTGCCGCAGCTGTGCTGTGGCACAAGTCCAAACTATTTCAGGCAGCCTGAGGTTACAGTGCCAGGAGCAGCTCAGGAGCCCCTGGCTGCCTCCCTGGGGTAACTGGAGATGACTGCACTCCTGCAGGGTAAGGGCAGAGCTGGGGTGAGGAAAGCTGGGGAGGGTTCATCTTCCCCAGAGAAGGAAGGGGATATCCCTCCAGTGTGTCTGCCTCGTACTTTCAGCTGGAGGCCAATGAGCTCCTGAGCTGCTCCTGTCTTTAAGACCCCACACAGGGCACTGGCGTCCCAGCCCTCAGAGACTTTTGCCAGCCCAGTTCGGGAGCAGGTGGGGGGCAAAGGCACTGCCCTGTCAAATCACATACCTTGCCCTGTCTCTGCTGGCACCCTGGACTGCCTGGAGCTTTCCTGCCCCCATCCCCTCTGTACTGGATGCCTGACAGCTCTGTTCAGTGGGAAGATGTGGCTGGAGCCCATGGAGAGCAGAGAGGTGGGCTCTCAACCCACCCTGGCTCTGGGATTCCTCAGGACTCTGTCAGACCCCAATAAAGTTGTACAAGTTCCCATGACCTCACGGCCTTACAGCAGTGGTAAATGTGAGTGCTGGGGCTGCCTGGAAACAGAGCAGATATTGCCTCTGGTGGGCCTGGGAAACCCTCTTCTGACCCACGTTGCTGCTCGGGTTAAACTGTGGAAAGACAACTCCTGGCTGAGCTGGTCCCAGCCTGCCTGGCTCTGTCCAAGCATGGCCTGAAAGGCTATTTCCCTTTCTAGGCAGGGAATATAGCCTGAAAGGTAAAGCTGAGGCTGAAAGCCTGCTTTCTTGGCTGCAAAGAACCACCAGAGGAATCAATCCCCTGGGCTGGGACAGCTCTTGACATGTCTGTTTTGATGGGGAGATATTGGTAATACCCATACTTAGTGCAGGGTTACGTGTTGAAGTCCTCCAACAAGGGACTGCCAAGTGGCCCTGGGAAGATACTGCCTGAATGAAGCTGGGGTGTGAGAAGATGGCATGTTGTGCTGGGAAGGTGACAGAGGTTGACAGAGGTGGGAGAAGAGCTGCTCCTGGGCTAGATGGGGGTGGCAGCAAGGGTTACTCTCCCAATTGTCTTCTCATGGGTGAGGACAGCAGGGATAGCTCAGGTGTGCTGTGACAGTACAGCCTGCTCTGGGATCATTCTCAAAAGCAGCTGAAGCAAGGGCTGTTCCAGGAGATTGTGGGAGGGGGCTCTGGCCTTAACCTCCTTGACCCAGCATGCCTCCAGATATTACACTGGTGGCCAGCATTAGCCCCAGAGAAACCTTGCAATGTGCCCCAGGACACTGGCATTCGGACTGACATAAGAGCTTCCTGGCAGGGCACAGACCAACCATGCCTGTCATGGCTAGGTGAGTGCCAGAAGAAATGCAAATTCAAGCAGCCTTCCTCTCTGTCCCTGGCCCCTTTGGGTGCCCGTTAGACCTGAGCAGTATGGAGCCTGGAGCATTGCCAGGGGCTATAAAAAAGGTAGGGAATTGGGCGAAAACTGGGCTGTGTCTTCATGTGGGACACAGCTCCCTCTGGTGAGGACACAGCTGTGACAAGCACCAGGTGCTGGATGCCACAGCCATCATATGGTCAAGAACTTGCAGAACATTAGCTGGAAGCTGTGGGCAGTGCCAGGGCATCAGAAGGTTTAGAGGAGCTCCCGGCATCAGGTGAATTCCACCACTTTGGGACAGAAGATAATCAGAGCTGGAAATTTGCTGAGTCTCTCACAGAGACACACTGGGTGCTTGCGCTCAGCTAAAAGAACACAGTGCAAAGCACTGCTCCCTGGAAAGGGGCCTGCATGGTGGCTAGAGGCTGGCAGGGAACACCAGCCTTGCCTCCAGCTCTCCCACTGCACCCATGCAGTAGGGGCAGGTGGGTGCTTGCCTTTGCTGAGTGCACAAGCCCCAGTGGTGCTGCCCGGTGCAGCAGTGCTCCTGTGCGGATCTGGAGACCCCCAGTTCCTGCTGGGCTCTGCCATGGGGGGACACTAGCCTGTCCAGAGCCCACACAACCAGCCCAGCATTCACGATGTCCAGTCTGTCCCACTGCTGTTCCCAGTGGGGAGGCGAAACCCTACCTGGATGCTCTGCAGCCCTCCAAGCCTTGCAGGGGGACTCGGGCACCCCCAAACCGAGCCAGCATAAGCCGCGGAGCCCCCGCGGTGCGAAGTGGCGAGGACAGAGGGGTGCCTGTCGCTCCCTGTCCCCTGCCGCTGGCCGATAGATGGCGGTGGCGCATCTCGCTTGGGGACAGGCCCCGGGAGGAGTTGTCCCTGCTGGCAGCCCAGGGGACCTGAGGATTCCAGGCA